TCTATTTTATTCTCAGCAATAAACGTATTTACACTTTTGGTATTTAGCTATATTTTGCCTCCGAATGACCTTAGATCTACTCCGAATCACCCTTTGACGTCAGACAACAATCACTTTTTAATTGTGACGTCAAATGTTTTGAATTATGATGTCAAAAGTTTACGGGAACCTGTGTGATTTTACGTAATAGTGGACAAATTTGCATACAAGTGTAAATACGTCTATATGTCCATGTTTTTATCTTTATTATCATAATTTTTCATAAATAAGTAACTAGAGGCTCTGTGTCGCTCACCTTGGTCTATGTGCATATTAAACAAAGGACACAGATGGATTCATGACAAAATAGAGTTTTGGTGATGGTGATGTGTTTGTAGATCTTACTCTACTGAACATTCTTGCTCCTTACTATTATCTCTATCTATAATAAACTTGGCCCGGTAGTTACAGTGTAAAATATTTTGTAAAAATTTACAAAAATTTATGAAAACTGTAAAAAATTGACTATAAAGGGCAATAACTCCTTAAGGGGTCAATTGACAATTTTGTTCATGTTGACTTATTTGTAGATCTAACTTTGCTGTACATTATTGCTGTTTACAGTTTATCTCTATCTATAATAATATTCAAGATAATAACCAAAAGCTGCAAAATTTTCTTAAAATTACCAATTCAGGGGCAGCAACCCAGCGTGTTGCCTGATTGATTGATTTCAGGGCAGATAGATCTTGACCTAATGAACAATTTTATCTCATCAGATTTGCTCTAAATGCTTTGGTTTCAGAGATGTGAGCCAAAAACTGCATTTTACCCTATGTACTATTTTTTAGCCATGTCGGCCATCTTGGTTCGCGGGCGGGGTCATCAGACACATTTTTCAAACTAGATACCCTAATGATGATTGTGGACAAGTTTGGTTAAATTTGTCGTAGTAGTTTCAGAGGAGAAGATTTTTGTAAAAGATTACAAAAATTTACGAAAAATGGTTAAAAATTGACTATAAAGGGCAATAATTCCTTAGGGGGTCAACCGACCATTTTGGTCAAGTTGACTTATTTGTAGATCTTACTTTGCTGAACATTATTGCTGTTTACAGTTTATCTCTATCTATAATAATATTCAAGATAACCAAAAAAACGGCAAAACATAAAAGTTAAGGCTCTGTAATTTTTTAGTCAAATTGCTACTACTTAAACAAAGCCGTTCACGGAACAGTATGTGTTTATGGTTGCTGAAATAAAGATGGCGGAAAAAATATCTATCATCTTTTATTTGTGAAAAAATCACTGTAAAAACGGTAAATCCGATCGGTGGGCGGGGCTTAGAATCACAACTTACGGATTCAGAATATTGTTAAATGATTCGCTATTCTCGTTAATTTGATTGAAAAATAAAAATAATTATGATTGAAACTTAAATGTCACTTTCTATAAGCAAAAACATTGGAAGATTGTAAGTTGAACGTTTTTTCTGGTCATTAAAATTGGTATGTTCCCACCCACTTTTTGACTCGCAGGAAGTCGTATAATGGGATTCCCCAAGCACATTTATATTTTGCAAGTTGATATATTTTTGTCCATAATGGGTCAGAAAAGAATTGTAGGAACTCGACTGCATATCTCAGTGTTGTTCATTAAATTTCTGATTTTTCGAACATAAGCTTAAGAATAAACTTGGTTTTGTTGCAATATTCTATGACTCCAAAGCGGGAGTGAACACTCGGATTTTCAACATCAAGTTTTTCTTACAGAAAATCATTTTTTTTCGCAAACTGTATCATACACATTGAATATTAAGTATTTTATAACCAGTTGGTATTAAATTCTAATACTAAAAGCATCACAGAAACTTAACATTTTAAAAGATCTATGACAAAGAGTTCAATGTCCGATAAATCCTGTCAGACAGACATATACACCTTACAATTTTTTCATACACCAAATATAGTTGACCTATTGTTTATGGTAATTGAAAATAGACCAAAACACAAAACTTAACATTTACCAATGAACCATGATAATGAGGTCAAGATCGGATTATACCTGCCATACAGACATGTGCACCTTACAATTATTCCATACACCAAGTATAGCTGACCTATAATATTGCTAGAAGTATTTGAAAAACAGACCAAAGCATAAAAACTTAATATTGAACATTGAACCATAAGAATAATTAGGTCAAGGTCATATGATACCTGCCAGACAGAGATGTAGACCTTAGTCATTCCATATAATACCAAATATAGTTGACCTATTGCTTAAACAGACCAAAACACAAAAACTTAACATTGACCAATGAACCATAAAAATGAGGTCTAGGTCAGATGATACCTGCCAGACAGACACCTTACAATCATTCCATATATCAAATATAGTTGACCTATTGCTTATAGTACTATCACTGACTATAGTACTTGAAAAACAGACCAAAACACAAGAAGTAAACATTGACCAATGAACCATGAAAATGAGGTCAAGGTCAAATGAAACCTGCAAGACAGACATTTACCAATTACAGTCATTCCATACACCACATAGAGTTCACCTAATTATGTAACTTTAACCTTGTTCACTGATCCATGAACTAAGGTCAAGGTCAGGTGAGCCCTGTCTAATGGACATGTAGATGTTGCAAGGAACCCATATACCAAATATAGTTATCCTATTACTCATAAGTGAGAAATTCACGACAATAAAACTCAATTTTTTTTCAAGCAGTCACTGAACCATGAAAATGAGGTCAAGAACAATGGACATATGACAGTTGGAATCTTTGTAACATAAGGTATCTGCATACAAGATATAAAGCATCCAGGTCTCCTACCTTGTGAAATATAAAGCTTTATACAAAAAGTTTATGCTGCCGCCGGATAGTAATACCCGTCTTGCAGTCGCAGGCAAGACAAAAACCAATACTGGTTAAAGAAGCTGAATGATTTTAGGTATAAAATGTAGGATTTATGTGTGAAAAGAGTTACATCATATAATTTATAAGGTTGTGGAATGTGTAGAGGTATTTCCCTTGGTCTAGTAGTTTCATGATATTCTTCATGTATAATTTATCAAGTGGGGTACATGTATTTCTTAAGCTCAGTTGGTAGAGCAATGGTTATCTCAACCAGCAGTCCTGTATTCTGATTTTTATCAGCGATTCCTTGATTTTAAATGAAAGGAAAATCGGGGTATACTGTTACAATACATCGTACATGTATATTTGTAACATGTTTAAACTTCATCCCAAGGTATTGACAAATATTGGCATTTTTACACCACATTATTTACTCCATGTACAGACCTAGATACAAATAAGTATCAGATGTAAAACCAACAAATGGATACAAAATTTCCTTTCTGACAGGAAACAAGTGGTAGTTGTAGAAGGGGGAAAATCTGATACAATCAACGTAGAATCAGGAGTCCCACATGTACAAGGTACAGTACTCAGACCCAGTTTGTTCCTCTTCTACACAAACGACATGCCAGAAGGTATTCGCTCAAGGGTTAGACTCTTTGCTGATGATACCATAGTATATCTTACCATTGCATCAGATGCAGACAGTAAGAACTTACAAGAGGACCTCAACATTGTTGAGTCAACAAACTGGCAATCAGGGAAACAAAATGGAAAATGGTCTTTCATCTCAATAAATGCAATGTACTAACAATTTCAAGAAAACGCAAACACATTGGTAGAGAGTACACACTGCATGGCCACACCCTTGAATCTGTAAAATCTGCTAAATATTTAGGTTGTACAATCAGTTCAGACTTGAAATGGAACAAACACATCAGAAACATATGTAACAAAGCAAACAAGACCATTGGATTTCTGAAACAAAACCTCAACATCAACAACACCACTATAAAGGAAACTGTATACAAATCCCTAGTTAGACTAACCTTGGAGTATGCATGCACAGTATGGGACCCTTTCCAGCTGAACAACTAACACCAGCTGGTAATGGTACAAAGAAGAGCAGCAAGATACGTCACTAACAGATATCACAACACCTCATCTGTTAGTGACATGCTTACCCAACTCGAACGGAAAACCCTTGAAGATCGGAGAAAAGCAGCAAGACTTGCAATGATGTACAAACTTGCCAACGGGATGGTTAATGTTAATATAGAAGACACTCTCATTCCACCAGACAGAGTATCCTGTAAAATGGTTTCCAATTTCCATCATTTAGAACAGAAGTGAGGAAAGAATCGTTCTATCCAAGAACAATAAGGGACTGGAAAGCACCACCACTAACCACCACCAGTGCAGGTAATCTTGAATGTTTCAGGAGACGTTTTAGACCGCCGTCAGGATGTTTTTAACCTCACTGTTGCTGTATATAGAATGTATAGTACAAATCTTCACATTATATTTTCAAAAAATATTTACATGCGCATCAAAAAGTGGCAAAATAATCAGTATATTGATGGTGGCCGCAAAATGGTAGACGTAGAAGTAATATGCATTTTGTGTTACAGACAATTAAAAACTTTTTGGATTTTGTGATTAATTTTATAATGAATTGTCAAATAAACAAACAATTGAGTTTCATTTGATATGGTCCTCCCAGTTACACAGTTGGAATCACATATCATGTCAATAAAAACATTAGCTTTACCTTCTGTATATATACACAGTACATGTATGATGTACATGATGTAGGAACAGAAAAATTGCACTTCAAAATCTCAAGGAAAGTTTTGATTTTCTGAATAAAAAAATGCATTAAACTTCTTAGTCCAATCATGCCTTAAACGTTTTAAAGTGCATAACTCTTTCTGTGTATTTGGAGTACATTATGATTAAGATTTCAGAAGGGGCACATAATCCTTGAATAATAGTCCAAAGAAATTATCATTGGACTAGTTTGCTTGTCTGAGCAATCAAAGAAGGGCTATACAACTTTATCGGAGTGAAATAAATATTATTCTCAATTCACAATTTAATCTTGTATAACGGCAGATGGGGTTGTCAAGTCGTTTTTATGGTCTTACCTGCGCCATCATTTTTACACAAGTGTCAAATATCCCACAACGAAAACAACTGAAGGCCTATGTGTGAAAATGGAGTACGGACAGATTTTATGCCTTTCTAAAATGTTCAGTTTAAATGTTTTGAATTTTTCTGATATCATTAGTGAATATAATTAATTGAATGATGTCGGATAAATGCAAATTTCGCTCCATCAGGCGATCTATTCCTGTTTCAGCCATGTTGTTTCCGCCATCTTACTTCACATGTAATATGGGCGTGGCTATCATTCCAGTTTTTAAAGGTAGCAAAATAGTTCTAGAAATCGGACTGATTTGGTACGATATTCATGTATTATTAATCTTATTTTATCATTTTTCTTTCATACTAGTAGTCTGTGAATTTAAAAGAAGCTATCAATTAATTTATCCAGGCAAATCTTTGTATTTCATATCAATCCGCTACACATTTTAACCTGATTGACCCCTTCAGGTGTAAACCTGCTCCTTGTCATTCAACCTTGCTTAAAGATATTTTGGGGGGAGGGGAACGGTTTATTGGTCCATATACGATACTTACGTAGAAACTTCTTTGTTAAGTTAAACTTTCTTCTTTCTTCTTCAATTTTTTTTATCAATGCATTACTTACTAATTATTTAACTCCATTGTAGAACTGCCTCTTTCAACTTGTAAATTAAATTTGTGTTACGAGCTTTTACTCGGTATTTTTGTGATTTTACTTTTTATACATATTGTCAGTTTGAAGTCATGATTCAAGTTGTATATGTCTCAGGTTTAATTTTTCTGTAGCTTGTTATTTGTGCGAAGTTTGTTTTGGTCATCACATGATAAATATGCAAAGAAATATAGTTTTTAACAGGCTTTCTTTTCAATAAGTTAACAGTTATATATCTTACCTTTTATAGAACAGACATGATCACAGTTATGAATTTTAGAATGAGGAAAACGTGTATGGAAAGATACAAACCGAAATATTAAGGACACTTGCTACCAATGTCCATAACGTTGAAAACGTAACAACAACAACAAAATTAGTTTATAGCAATAAAACTTTTTATTACCCCCAAAATATTGTTAACATTAAATGTTCTATTTTCTTCGGTTGTTGAAAAACTTATTACAAATTATAATTCAGATACGGATTTTTCTTTAAATTAAACCTCATTTCTGTTGGGAAGGTATGTACACAACCGAAACACTCAATGTTGATAAATCAACAGGTTTAGATGGAATTGGTCCCAACACCGATTTTTAAAGGTTAGTGAAGAGATAATCACGATCGCCATCACTAACTTTTCTAATAAACAAAAGTATAACATCTATAATCGTTTTCCAGGAAAACTAGATTAAAACATGCAAGACTGAGTAACTGCTATACATAAAGGAGGACCAACAGATGTTCCCTCCAATTATCGTCCAATTTCTATTTTAAATACCATATCTAAGATTTTTGAAAGACATGTATGTATAAAGTTATATGAATTCTTGAATAATAAAAAAATATAACATATAGCTCAGTCATGTTTTAGACGAGCGAGGTCATTCATGTCAAACTTCCCTGACTAAACTAATTGACGACTGGTTGAAATATTTAGCGGATAATGGAGAAATAGTTGGTACTGTGTTTTGGGGTTTCAGTAAGGCTTTTGACCTTTTTAACCATGTCATACTTTATAGAAAAGCTAAAATTTTATCATATCGGAGAACATATGATAAATTGGATAAAATCATATTTGTCTGAAAGACAACAAGAAGTTTAATACGAAAATATTAAATCTTATAAAACGTTTGTAAAATATGGAGTGCCTTAATGTTCTATTTAAGGTCATCTATTATTTTAATTTTATCATCAATGATTTACCACTTCATGTTAAACAATCCAACATGGATTTATATGCTGATGATTCAACATTGCATTTAAATGATAAGAAAATTGAAAAAATTAACAACATTTTGCAAAATGATTTTAATGCTGAACAATCTTGGTGTAACAATAACAGTATGAAAATTAATGCACAAAAAAAAAGTGTATGAAATTAAGTTCAAAACAAAAACTTACACAACTATCAGAATTATGTATTACCATAAACGAAATCTGAAGTGAGATTGAATGTCCATTCTTTCAAATTACTTGGAATTGACATAGATGAAAATTTATGCTGGGAAGAACATGTTGATCGTATTATGTAAGATTATCTCATCTGAAATATCACTTTTGTATGAACTTAAAAAAAGAATATATTTGTCTGTTTACATAAGATAACTATTTTATAATGTATATATTCTACCATATATAGACTATTGTAGTTCAGTTTGGGGAAATTTAGTACAAACAGATTCAGAAAGAATTGTAAAACTTCAGAAAAGAGTAGCAAGAATTATACTTAGATGTTATATTTCTGTTTCATCAAATTTTATGTTTTCTTCTTTAAAATGGCTATCCTTTGCAGAAAAAATAAAATACCAACTGGACTAACACCTGATTACTTATCAATGCTAATTAATGATGATGTTCAACACTACAACTTACGACCGGTCTCAAACAACGAGCTATTTGTTCCAAGACCAAATACTAATTTTTATTCTGCAACCAAGGTATGGAATGATTTACCATTCACAATAAAACATTGTCGTAATGTGGAATTATTCAAAAAAAATTGTTACAATCATTTTCTTGAAAATTCTATGCAAGTTTAAAACATTTTCTTTTATGGTTAGAATCTGAAAACTGTTTAAATTTAAATGTATGAATGATTGTTTTATAAAATTTAAATGTATGAATGATTGTTTTATAAAATTTAAATGTATGAATGATTGTTTTATATATGTATATGTAGGACTCTAAAGTGCGATGGGGACGCTAAAACGCGATGGTCACGCTAAAGTGCGATGGTTTGATACGCTAAAGTGCGATGGTCTGTGTTATTAAATGGAACATGTTAAAGTCCGATGGCTCAATACGCTAAAGTGCGTTTTCCCGACAACAATGGAAATCAACAAAAATGAAAAAGCGGATTACCTTAATAGTAACGATATGTATGAAACACTTTGAAACAGTTAGTCGTAACCATGGTCGTAACTAACCCAAATTAGAATTAGAACTGAATTAGAATTGTTCAGTCATTTAAAGTGTTTTATTTTAATTAATTCATATTTTCTACAACAATATGGTTTAAATTCAACTTGAATATGAAAAATAAAATTAATATAATGTTTTTAACTTTTTTATTTCTATTTTGATAGATATTTATGATTGTTTTTTAAATTTAGTAATTATTGATACACAGTGTTCTATTTTTCTTATTTACAACTATAGGTAAAATTTTAATGCTAAAAAAAACTGACTATATTTTACCTGTAATCAATAGTCAATTGTAAAAACAACACCTATTGTATTTTGCATGTGGGCATAGGTCGAATATGTTTTTATCAAATGTGGGCATAGGTTGAAGACACCGCGGGGACAACATCATATTTGTCATGGAGGTAGGACAGGTGTTTTCCAACATTTGGGTCTTCAAGATTGATGTAGCATGGATATTCATAGACCTATGCAGCTTTTTATTTCTGATTTGTATCAACGACCTCATAGCCTTATTCCATTCGGAAAGAGTATCTACGTCTTCTTTCTCGTGTCTATCTCACCCGGTATTATGTCTGTTTGTTATGCTCACATATTGTTGTCAATGTAATGGAATTCTATGCGGCTGTCATACAAGTGAGAGGTTTAGCTAGCTATAAAACCATGTTTAATTCACCATTTTCTCCAATATAATGAAATGCTTGTACCAAGTCAGGAAAATGACAGTTGTTTTTCCATTCGTTTGATGTGTTTGAGCTTTTGATTTGCCATTTTATAAAGGACTTTCCGTTTTGAATTCCCCTTGGAGTTCGGTTTATTTGTTATTTAACTTTTTTCCAATTCTCACGACATTTCGGGTCTTTTGATAACACATTTCGCAGAGAATTGTTATAGACAATGTTTAGGTCACCAGTAATAACGTGGCCAGTCGGATTATGTATGAATGAGGAACTAGAGATTTACGGAAAGTCTCGATACTGACTGTTGACACCGACTTTGACAGATAAAATGAAAGGGGTCGTCTCAAATGTGAATTTTACGGTGTACTTGATTCAAAAGGTATTTTTGTGCAAATAAAACTAGAATCCCATGGACGGAGCATACTATCACTCCACCGACAATAAGCAGCAAAATTTTAATCCAGATATTCCGTATAACAGAACATTTCAATCAGATATGGCGGTCAAGCTAATGGCATGTATGACCCCCCTCCCCCCCCCCCACCCCCCCCCCCCCATATATATGAAGCCAGATAAGCTCTTTTGAATGCTTTTTTTTCCTACAATGCCATAGATTGTGTACAAATAAAAACAAATCCAGTTTACTGATAGAAAAACATTCCTGTTCCACAAATACTGAAAAAGAGGGAAGGTTAGTTTAAAACAAGGGGGAGCGGGAGAAGCGGGAGCAGATTATCAGTGGTGAAAAAAAATGTGCCAACCAATTAGGGTCTGTAGGGGCCCGATGATTCAGACAACCTTCATGGACTATCGGAAACAGTTTTGGAATATGGCAATCCAGGTAAATTTCTATCAAGTTTGGTTCGAAAAAAAATCAGTCAACCAATCACCGGCCATGGTGGCCACATTTTTAAATTTGTCGGAATAATCAGAACCAGTTTTGGTGGAAGATTTACCGACCAATCACCGGCCATGGTGGCCACATTTCTAAATTTGTCGGAATAATCAGAACCAGTTTTGGTGGAGGATAATCACATAAACATTTCTCACCTAATTTCAAACCAATTAAGTATTTTTTGACGAGAAGTCGACCGCTCAAAGGCTGCGATGGCCATTTTGAAAATTGCATACCTAGGGCTGTCAGGTTTTGTAGTTGACCATCTCAAGAGAATTTCTATATACCAAATCGGATTCAAATATTTTTGTAACTTGGCCGGAAATTTATGTTATTATCTTATCTATGATATAAAATGCATTCTTCAATCTAAATCAGTATATCAAAAAGCTTCAGGTGTAAACCTGCTCCTTGTCATTCAACCTTGCTTAAAGATATTTTGGGGGGAGGGGAACGGTTTATTGGTCCATATACGATACTTACGTAGAAACTTCTTTGTTAAGTTAAACTTTCTTCTTTCTTCTTCAATTTTTTTTATCAATGCATTACTTACTAATTATTTAACTCCATTGTAGAACTG